TTTCTCCTCTGGCTTTTTTCCTGCCACGTCCAGCGAATCCCCTAGCCTCCTACCGAACACCACCAACCTCCCACCACCCACTGGACCACCCCCTCTTCACGCTGCTGTTGACAAATGGAACACAATCGGCCACACCCCCTCAGAACGCCCCTTTCTCCTGGGGATTCCAAATAGTGATGCCAATTTTCTAAATTATTAAACAACAATTTATAATATTTCACTTACAAATCCATTGGAATTTTCTGTATTTTCTTGTAAATGATTCAATTATTTTAAAATGTTAAATTAAAAATACCACAGAAAATTTAATATGGCAAAGACATATTTGGGAGCTTAAGATTTTTCAACCTTTTTTTGCTTGGTAATTTGGAAAATACATTTGAAATAATCATTTTTATATCACAAATAATATCTACAAACATGGAATATTATAATTTTTAATGAGAGGCAAAGGATAAAAAGGAAAACATTTGACAAACAAAACAAAGGATTATTTTAAAGATTTTTCCAAGTAAGACCCTTAAAAAATGAAAGTTTTTGATGTAAAAAAAATAAATTGCCATCCCTTGCAGCAGCAGAGATTTACACAAGAAAAGAAACAGACACACATGAGCTTTTCACCAAGAAGTGGGTTGTGGGTGGGGTTTTGGTTAGTGGGCGGCGGGGGGAGTGGCTTTCCGCCCGCATAAATGCATGAATACTTATGGATAGTTCCTAGCGCATCACAAGCTACTGTTGTTGGAATTTCTGGTGGGCGGTCGCAGGCGGAATTGTCATGTTTCTCGCTTGTATTGCACTGACATCTGGGGGACATAATTCGTCGACACACACACACAATGCCAAGAACAACGTTTATTTGTGTACTTGTGTCTTTATATATAAATTCTGAGCGGACTTTGCTGGTTGTTTCCTTTTTTTTTTGGTTTGCTTTGCTCGAAACTGCACTAAATGCGTTTAATACAAAAAGCTTCAAAGCGAAACTGCAAAGAGCTCGAAATGCAAACATAAGTTTGAGGGTATTTATCGTTTTTGGTTATTTTTATAGAACACGACGGTTGTGTTCGTACCAACATGACAGGAAATCCTCGTATTTCGACCTTGAAGTAGACATTATCAAAATCAACATCAGCACAATTACCGATCTAACAATGAAAATGTTGTTGGTATGAGAACCATAAGTACAAATTGTTTATAAAAATCGTCTGGACATATACATATTACTCTAGTTAAATTTTATATAATCTTAAATCTTTTTTATATTTATTTAAATATTTTATCATTTTTTTAAGTCTGTTGATTATAGGATATTTTTTTAGTCTAAGCAATTGACTCTTACATTATTTCCGTTTGAACGGAGTAATATGATTGATGTACGGCTTATGCTTATGCTTCGTCATCTGGGTAAACTTGTCAGACTCAAAGACAACTGACCTTTAAATATATTCAGTTTAAAAATAGAGTTTGTATGAGATAGGTAAATATTTGTAAGTAAAATGTTACAAGAATATCATCTGAACTTATAAAAAATAGTTTAATTTGATTATATGTGAATTTCGTTTACAAATCCTAAATATATTTTATTTATGCTTATGCTTATCTAATCAAAATGGTAAGAAATTGTTTTTTAATTTTATATTAGATTTACTTTTCTAATACTCCAAATATAGATTTTATTGTTTGCATGTTAATACAATATAATGTTTTTATATACCCTAAAACATATTTTTGCTTTCGCCAGAAAAAGATCTAAAGGAAAGACAAACAATCACGTGCACACCCCCAACCCGACCCCAATAATTTATTAATTTTCCCACGGGTATCCAGCACCTTTCGATTTCCCTGTTTACAGTTTGCACGTATCCTGGTGAGTCTGATTCCCCTGCTCGGCGAAGCGTTAAATCGCCACCATTAAAAATCAATGTTTAAAGATTTATGAGCTTGACAAAGTGTTAATTACCAGGCGAGAGCAAGGTTAAGGCGAAGGACGATGGGCGGAAGTTGGAAGGCGGAGGAAAAGCTGAGCCCAAAAAGTAAAAGTCCTCGAACAACAACATGTACACAGAGATAATAACGAATAAGCCGGAAAGCTACCAACCTGGCCTATAGACTTTAACCTCCTTTTTAGTTTACTCGACTCAACCTTTTTTATCTGTTCATATCGGTTTGTGGACGAATAGCAATACAAATTAAAACATTTTATTTATTGTACAAGTTTATTTTTTGAACGAAAAGCTATTAATATTCATCAATAATTAAGTAATTGATAGTTGTTACATAAAGGTAAACTTAAATGGGTCAGTCCCATAAAAACTATTTGAGTTCAATTCGAAACAACAAAAAGTAGATACATAATTTAATACTTTGATTGCTGTGTGAGTAAGATAAAAAGCAAACTGTGACGTGGGTTAGAAAGTCAATTATTTAACAAGAGTTTAAAGCTTTAAAAACAAGTTATCAAATAAATATTGGAAATGTACAATCATTTTGTTAATAAAAGATAGCACTTGTTAGCCATTTAATATTTAAGAGAGAATAATATAAAAATTGAGACTAATAATTGAATACAAAAATTTGATTAAAAATGTAATCTCTCACTGTCAACTGGATTATTTGCAATTTAAACGTAAAGATAAGTTCAAAGTTCTGACTTCTTAAAGCGCTCAAAGTATATCCCTTTATCCACCTTAAGAAAACTGCCTTAAGGTCAAAATAAAAACGTAAATATACAGCCAAAAATGCAGGTTGTTATCTCACTCCCAGCCTTCAGTCCCAAATTAAAATAGAATTCGCGGGATAGTCCGAAAGAAAACCCGCGAAAAACTCTACTTTTAATCAGACCAAAACAAAACGAGCGAAAATAAAAGTAAACAAAATAGCGGGAAAACAGGCGTCAGGATGCCAAGACACCAAAGAACAAAAAATAACGTTAGAGGATGAGAGCCGAAAAGTAACACAAAATGGGAAAAGACCAGCTCTCATAATTCCACGGCCAAAAGGAAAATTCAACGGCAGCGGCAAGGAGTGAAATAGGAAAATCAACAACCGAAAAACGTAAAAAAGATGCCAGCCAGCAGTTTTCCGTTACTTTTACTGTCGGCATTTTTGTTTGTTTCTATTTTCATATATTTTTTGTACTCTATTTTCATTTTTGTTATTTTTTTTTGTAGCTCACCCACATAAGCTGCGAGGGACACGTGAGGTTTCTCAGCGACGAAAATTCGAAATATTTGTGCTGGAAACATATAGTATAAATATACATATGTAGGCTGTGTGCGTGTGAAGGACGCACGAAACGCCTTAAATATGCTTGAACTACTAAAGAAGCCATAAAGCAACAGCCAACAGCCATCAGCCAACAGCCATCAGCCGACAGTCAAACAGGCCACCGCAGGAATAAGCCTGCGACGCTCCTCCGCCGGCACTTCATCGCCCACTTTTCTTCGTCCTCCAAATGGGAACACATTATCCTGGATGTGGCCCGAACTGAGTTTGATTCTAGCCCTTATTTCACGAACTTGTTCGAGTTGCAGGGGAAATGCCTGCATTGCAACTGGGATGTTAAAAAGTCGGTTGCAAGGGGTGGGGACGATTTTAGGTGGTTCTCCTCAGTAATAATATTAAATTACAATACACTTTAAGTATTCGTTAAAATTATTATACTTTAAAAACATTAAAAACAGGACTAGGGAATACACTAAAATTGGAATCGGTAGCAAATACTCCCACGAATGCTTGAAGATTAAAGATTTCCAGTAATCGGTTGTTGCTTTGATTTCTTAACAAAAAATTGCAATATTTAAGAATGGATTCAATTAATGTTTGGTTTTCAATGTATAAACTTAGCAAACCATGCATTCTAGCACCACATAATTGTAACGGTTTTTTTCAAATGCTGCTTTATTTACATCGTTGTTTTACAAAATCGCTTTCAGGACGTTAGTTTTAGCAGAAGTCCTTTACTATAGAAATTTTTTAAGAGTAGTTTTTAATGCTGTTCAATCCTTTTCGCTTACAGAAAGTTGATGTGGGACTTTCTTAAGGGTAAGAAACTTCTTGGCAGACTCTAACAGAAACATGATTCAAAAAGATATTTTCTGCCTACAAAGTAAAGATATTTTTAGCCTAGAAAGAGAATGATCTGCGTGACTCTAGACAAAACAAAAAATGTTTGAGAATTTATAAATTTTCAAGAACAGGTTCACAACAAGATGTTCGCCATTTCATTGGTGCTCTGGCTAAATTTAAAACGCAGAGCAATTTTAGAAGTTTATCGAAGGTCCTTGGAAAAATAACCCATAACATTTACATTATATACATCAATGTGTATAACATTAAAAACTATCTACATCATGTAAAATGTAATGCATTGCAGCGTGGGTGTCTTTTTTCCCTTATTTATGGTAAGGTTAGAAAAATTATAGCAGTGTTGTGTATTTACGGTCAAACATTTTCGTTTACGAAATGTTATTTCTATAACTTTACAATAAGTCCTTTTGTTCCCTTATTTATGGTAACAAAAGTTTGAAAATCGGGATTGTGTATTTACGGTCAACCATCTTTATTTGTAAAAAATATCCTTTCCATAGCTAGAAAAAAGGCCCTTTGTTCCCGTATTTATGGTAACAAAGGTTAAAAACTGGATTGTGTATTTACGGTCAACCATTTTTATTTGCCAAAAATATCCTTTCCATAACTTAAAAAATGTCCTTTTAATCTCGTGTGTAACTCTTGTTTATCCTTTATGGTCATAAAACTCTTGCTTTTCCTTTAAAATTTGCATTTTTCCTATAGAGAGGCTCAGCCAGGTGCTAGTTTTCGTGCAATCGATTCTACCTGTCAATGCTATCTTCTACCTGATTGTATTAGCGGATCAATCAACAGCAGCTGGTTCGACTTTATACCTTTATACCATTTTATTGGCTACCTAGACTACTTTAGAAGCATTACTTCCATTTAAAAACCACAGTTTTGAAACACCTAGCATCATTAACTTTCTAGTCATGGCCCGACGAACACAATCACGCTTTATTTTTGAGGTCGTGGAAAACTCGCGTATTTTTCGACATCAATTTTTCGTGAACGGTTCAAGGAGAGCGGAATGTAACACCTGTGAAAATCATGTGCCAGTCAGCGAACCGTACAATCATCACTGGCGAAACGATATTAAAAACCAGAAAAGCTACTATATTCAGATGGGCTTACCGGAAAAACAGATCCTTAAAACGATCGAGGATCAGGCCATCGAAGAGTTTATCTTATGCGACGGAAGCATAGCAGCCAGGACCAACGACTTTCTTTTGGATGCAGGAATGGATGCAGTCCCTCAATTGCTAAGATTCCTAAGTTTTGGAACTGAGAAACTGGAGGCTACCGTAGGGTTCTATGTGGATGTGAAAAAGGAGCGCATGTACTACGAAAGCAGTCCTATAAATATTGAAAATCATTTGGATATTGGCGAAGCGGTGGATATGATATTCTCCATGCTGCTGGAAAAGATAAGCAACTATGTGCTGCTCCATCATAGGGTTCCACTGGAGGCGTGTGTTATCAGAAGGATGAAGGTGACTGTGAAGAGATTTTGCCACTCCCCGAAGGCCAATTCCTTCTCTGTTTCCAAAATTCCTCTACAATATCGAGTAAAAAATGCTGCTGAATGTTTTGAAAGCGCAAATAATAAATCATCCGTCGAATTGGCCAAGCTTGCCGAAACTTATCTTAATCAAAAGGATCAAGGACGACCTATTCCCGCCACTCTCAAAGTAAATCTCTACATCTTTCGGGTTTGCAACACCTCTAAGGAACTGTATGCTGTACCCTATTTACTTCATGGAGAAGATGTGGAAAACACGCCCACCTTTATCATTCAAACGGATGTCGTGGGTGGATTTCAGGGCCTGCTTGAAATCCAAAATATAAGAAAGTTTCTGCGGGAAGATACCAAAGATCGGGTATTCGAATGTCGCCAATGCCAGTCCCACTTTGTGGACCGGGTGCATTTGGCCCTCCATAAACAGATCTCCTGTGGGCGAAATTTTATGGTATGGCACATGGACAAGGACGCCATTGAACTGCACGAGAACTGTTTGCCCCTGCCGAAGGAATATTTTAAGTACGAATGGATTGGGTTGGCCAGCAAGAGAATTTAATTTGATTTAGCTAGTTTATAACATGAAACATTTAATAAAACAAAATCATTTTAAATAAAAAAAAAATAATTAAAAGAATTCAATTTTTTGGGTTTGGGAATATGAGAAATTGGAAATTCCAAAATATAAAAATTATGAAAACGCAGATTTTTATAGAATTAAAACACAAACATTTAGAGGTATGTCGCTTTAAAATCGAATGCCTGTAAGAAAAGTTATGGGCTGAGAAGTGCAGGTTTTGGATCACTTTTCAGCAAAGCCATTTTTCGTAAATTTGGAAAGGGGTTAGCTCATAAAAATGAAGAAAAACCGACCCAAAAAGAAAAAACGAGATGAGTATACAGATTTTTAGAGAATTAAACCACAATCATTTAGAGATATGCCACTGCAAAATCGGAAGTGTGTAAGACAAGTTATGGGCTTAGAAGACCAAGTTTTTGGTCACTTTTCAGCAAAGCCATTTTTCGTAAATTTGGAAAGGGGTTAGCTCATAAAAACGACGAAAAATCGACACAAAAATAAAAAACGAGATGAGTACACAGATTTTTAGAGAATTTAACCACAATCATTTAGAGATATGCCACAGCGAAATCGGATTTCTATAAGAAAAGTTATGGGCTTAGAAGTGCAGGTTTTTGGTCACTTTTCAGCAAAGCCATTTTTCGTAAAAATGACGAAAAACCGACTCAAAAATAAAAAACAAGATAAAGATAAAGATACAGATACAGAGTCCCCAGAAAGAGAATACCATATAAATACAAATATAGACTTTCCAAACTTGTATCCTTTATTTTATATTTAATTCTAGAGACATTGAAATTATAGGAACTTGTGCCGATTTCCATTGTATCCATTGAACGTAAACATTTTTGTAAACTAATACATATTTTATGAAACAGTTGTTGTCTCATGGCACTATCTGAAACGATAGAAGCAAACGATTTTAGACATTAATTAATTATATAAAATTGCGGTTTTAATTTAAATCAATCTATTAAATCTTTTAATTCGTTCATCCGCTGCAAGATGTCAGAGTTGAGGAACTCGACTACGTCACAGCTGGATTCCCGCTCCTCCGTTTCCGTATTCCACCGGAATACGTTGCAAGTGCCCACCCCTTGGTTGCATTATCGAACTGGATGCCAAATAGCCCGAATTTATGTAAAACACCCCCGAGAACACATGCAAAACCCGTGGCTTTGAAGCAGGAACCCTAACGGAAACAGTATTATCTTGTTCTTCTATTACCTTGCGGGTGTTGACATTCGTGGAGTCTAGCAGTGTGTTTAGATTACTGGATTCCAGGAGTGTATTGCCAGCGGCGAAGTCCTGCGAGGGCGTGATGTCTGGCTCTTCTGGCTGAGGCGTTGTTTTATCCACGGGGTTGGGAGGTTGGTTCGCTCCAGATTCAATTCCCACCATAACACCCTTCGGCAACTGTGGGAACCAGTCTTAGAGGGGCGGGTGCTCTCAACTCTTCCGCTTTCTCATCTGCCGGTTTTGAGATCGCAAAACTGGAAAAAATTGATCCCTTATTTTTTTGTCCAATTCAATTATTTGCTCTTCGGTCGCAATTTTCGTAAGATCCGATGGAGTTTATGGCTCTTGTGATACTTCGCCGACATCCGATATTTCCTGAGACATAAGCTTGGGAAAATAGACTTAGATTTTCCATGTCCATCAAATTCGTTGTTACACTGAGTGGGTGAACAACTCGGTTCTTCTGGAAGGGAATCATTGGATTATGCTAACAATTTTTATAAATTTTGGTCTATAACTTACCTTGAACGATGTCTATAGTAGATGCGATGGAGACTATCTCTGCTGGGCTACCCTCATCCCGACTTTCTACACCACAAAGAGACTCTGAAAAAATAACAATTTTCAAATACTACGTCTATTATTCCAAACAGCAATAGGCTCACTTAATAAAATTTCATCAAGAACACGCTCGACTACTTCAACCGCGGCGTTTAGTGACTCATCCGTGATCTCAGGTACTTGAGGTATCCATTCATTATGTGTCCAACAAGCTGCATATAATTGGAACAACTGCACAACATCATCAATGTTCTTTAGGGTGTGTTGGGTGTTGAAATTTGAGTAAATTCCCAATTCCTAGGAGTTCACTATTTTCTGCGATAAACAACCCAGGTCCAGCTTATCCAGCTGTACTCCTTTAATGTGGAGTAGCTGCTTTAATTGGCCAGTTGCCATATTTCACGACGTGTTGGTAGCAAAGTTTCACTGCTTTCATATAAGCCCTCCCCATCATGTAGTCTGAGAATTCCTGAAGAGTTAGTTGGTAGAGTATGCGCCAAATGGATCTCAAGCCAAGGCTTGTGCAGATCAAGTACTTCAGATCCTATTTGGTGTGGTGTGTATTTAGATGGTCTTTTCTTTTGGCTTTTTAAAATGTTATTACTTACCGTGGTGTTTTCGGCGAAAAATATTTCCTTGGCTTGCTCGAGAAGGATTTGTTTTTCGGTTTTTTGTGCTGATGTTACACGGTCCTCCCTGCTGACTTCTGTAACCATAGAAAAGTTTCATTCAATTTCTTTTACCGGGATTGCGGCCGGTAACTCAGTATCAACAACTCTGCGAGTGGCCACTGAACATGCATTTTTTTGAGCTATGAGAATTAATGGGAATTCGTCTTTCCCTTTTCTTTTAAAACTTTTCTTAACAGCCTGAACCTAAATAAGATAACCAAGACCAAAGAAGTACTTGAAAATCTTTTGGTCGATGAGGCTTTGGGCCACCTTCAGAAGTTTTACAACCGATTCTATGTTCCCGGAGAACCGATGCAAAATCAACTATTTTAAAGATAAGCCTGCAACTTCTTTAATAAAATGGCAGCCGAGACTGTAAAGAAGCATGCTGCAAAAAGGTCCAATAACAAGAAGTGAGTAGAGAAAGCTAAATATTTAGATGTAATTCTTTAACTGCTCCTTTTAAATTTTTTTAAAGTGTCACTGAAAAATCCAAGGACCTGCATAAAAGGATAGAGCTGCTCAACGATAACGATGCCATTTCCGAAGCCAACCCGGGTTAACTTCGTCTTCACAGGTACAAGAACTGCCCTGAGCTGAGACTTCAGAGTGCGTATTAAAGAGTCTGAAGGTCAGATGGAAAAATCAGGTGTAAAATATCCTGTTTCTTTCAAGCTCTTCAAAAATCATGTGTGCAATCTCGCTGAAATTCTTTAAAAAAATGAAGCTATGCGATGAGCATAAAATGAAAACCCAGGAGATTTGTCCAAGGGACTATTACAAAGATTTTTACTCTGCGCCAGAGATACGAACAATGTTGAACAATTTCCGCGAGATTGCACATATGACTTTTTAAGATTTTGAAAGAAATTGGATAGCTTCATTCGTGAACTATTTCCGCCAGACATGAAGAGCTTGCAAGAAATTGGATACTCTACACCTGATTTTTCCATCTGACCTTCAGACTCCTTAATGGCACTCTGTAGTCTCAGCTCTGGGCAGTTCTTCTACCTGCGAAGACGAAGTTGGCCCGGGTTGGCTTGGACTCTGTTCGTCGGAAATGGCATCGTTATCGTTGCGCAGCTCTATCCTTTTATGCATGTTCTTGGATTTCTCAGTGACACTTTAAAAAAATTAACAAGAAAGGAAAGCTAACTTCGGGCGGAGCCGAAGTTGATATACCCTTGCAGAATACTCTGTAAATTATATTCTCCAAAATTATTCATATGATGCATTCTTAATACTCATAAAAAATCCCAACTTCCTAACTTTAAAAACACCAAAGTTATGGCATTTCCAATCGTTCAGTTATATGGCAGCTACAGGATATAGTCGGCCGATCCTTATGAAATTTGGTAGGTCGAATGGATTAGCAAAATATAAAACCCATAGGAAATCCCAGCTTCCTAACTTTACAAACACCAAAGTTCTGGCATTTCCGATCAATCAGTTATATGGCAGCTATAGGATATAGTCGGCCGATCCTTATGAAATTTGGTAGGTAGGATTGATTGGCCAAATATAAAACCCATAGGAAATCCCAGCTTCCTAACTTTACAAACACCAAAGTTATGGCATTTCCGATCAATCAGTTATATGGCAGCTATAGGATATAGTCGGCCGTTCCGACATATGTACTGCGTACAAAGGAAAGAAGGGTGTGTGCAAAGTTTCAATTCGATATCTTTAAAACTGAGAGACTAGTTCGCGTAGAAACAGACAGACGGACAGACAGACGGACATGGCTATATCAACTCAGGAGGTGATCCTGATCAAGAATATATATACTTTATAGGGTCGGAGATGTCTCCTTCACTGCGTTGCACACTTTTGACCAAAATTATAATACCCTCTGCAAGGGTATAAAAAGGAACAATTAAAGAATTACATCTAAATATGTTAGCTTTCGCTACTCACTTCTTGTTATTGGTCCTTTTTGCAGCATGCTTCTTGACAGTCTCGGCTGCCATTTCATTATGCGTCCTGCCTAACTAAAGCAGGTTCGCCAAAGAAGTTGCAGGCTTATCTTTAAAAAAGTGGATTTTGCATCGGTTCTCCGGGAACATAGAACCGGTTGTAAAACTTTTGAAAGGTGCGGTGGCCCAAAGCCTCATCGACCAAAAGATTTTCAAGTTCTTCTTTGGTCTTTATCTTATTTAGGTTCAGGCTGATAAGAAACGTTTTAAAGGATACCGGGAAGACGAATTCCCATTAACTCACATCACACATCATTTATTTCTAGCTGCAAAGTTACTAGAATTTGCTGAGCACATTTCTCAACTCCACAATCAGTCCGAAGATTTCAAAGATACTGAGCCAAAATTTAACATCCAGCATTAGCAAACAGATGCAGAACCGTCACTATCGAAAAAGTGAACACAATATGGGTAAATGGGTGAGTAAATTATGTTTTTTTGATCACATTTTTAAGCTAATTAATGTATTTTTTATTGTTCAGCAAACAAATTATCGACGTGGTTAATAACACTTCTGTGTCAAGAAAATGCATGTTCAGTGGCCACTAGTAGAGTTCTTGATACTGAATCACCGGCCGCAACCCTGGCCGCAATTGAGTCAAACTTATCTACGGTTACAGACCTTGTTATTGGATCTTTTTGCAGCATGCTTCATTACAGTCTCGGCTGCCATTTTATTATGCGGCCTGCCTAACTGAAGCAGCTTCACCAAAGAAGTTACAGGCTTATCTCTAAAAAAGTTAATTTTGCATCGGTTTTCCGGGAACATATAGATCCGGTTAAAGAACTTTTTAAGGTTACGGTGGCCCAAAGCCTCAACGACCAAGGGATTTTCAAGTTCTTCTTTGGTATCGGTTATCTTATTTAGGTTCAGGCTGTTAAGAAAAGTTTTAAAGGATACTGGGAAGACGAATTCGCCTTTCCTACAAAGAGGCCAACGTTGGTTATGCGTTCAGCTTTAAAAGGATGTCTCTCACCTGTCAACTTCAACTATCACGTCCTGGGATCCTTGAGGATGGGTATGTGTTGCTGCTTCCGCATTGTTTTTAGCTTCGTCATCTACAGCCATATCATCAGTCTCAGGGTCTGGATCTTTGAGCAATTTATCAAGCACGTGTCGGGGACACGGTGCCACCTTAAAAGCATACATACCTCTGTCGGACGCTGGGATCCCTGAAGAAGGCTTGGTAATACCAGTGGGTCCATTCCTCCTCTGTTTTATGGCTTCCATCCTGGGCTTGCAAGTCGAGTGCAATATCCTGCAGGTTGACTATTAGCTTGTTAAATGTTCTTAAAAGCTTGCAGATGATATGAAGAACGCCAAGAAAGCCGCAACAGCATTTCCACCATTTGCTTTGTAAGTCCCGCAAAGTTAAACGAGGGCTGGGAACATTCCGCCAATTGTTTAAATATCGTATAACTATCGATGATTCACAATGGTAAGTGTCTTGGAAATGCTGCCGTGTGGCCACTTAACAAATTCTAATTCCAAGGTAAATATGGATACGAATTGATTAAAACTTTGCTCAAATTTAGTTCGATTGCCTATCAATTTTTTAAAATATCTCCTGAGTTGGCACACGGTCTGTGAATTGTTTTTTTTTTATGTTTGCTGTCATGGGTGGGATAATTTTGTGATGGTTGCTGTCTGGAACGGCTCAAGTGTGGCCATCCACGTATTTGTGAGAATGTTTCGATTCCAAGGAAACTGTTAATATGAATTGATTAAAACTTTCCTTAAAGCTAGTAAGATTTCTTAGCAGTTTTTTAAAATATCTCCTGACTTGGCACACGCTCTCAAAGTTAGTTCGATTACCTATACATTTTTTTTAATATCTCCTGACACGCTTTGTGAGGGGCGTAGGAATTTTTCAAAAGTTAGCGTCGATTGGTATTTGAAACGATATAAGCCTAGTATCCTGATCGACGAAAACCGTACGCCAGTCATGAGAGAGAGCGAGAGGCAAACAGCTGGCGTTCACTTTTCGTCGGGCCTTTTTTTCACGTCGGTCTCCTGATCGACGAAAAAAATACCAGAAAATTCCATAGCGTTGCCAGTCTGCGGAAATAAACTTTGGGTGAGCCCTAGCGGAAAAGATTAAAAAATTTAATCTTTTGGCGTGCGCTTCTCACTGAACATTATAAGAAATGGAGGGAAAAACTCAAAAAACTCACAAAAATCGATTGCAGGAGTTTACATGTGAGGACAAAATAACATTAATACTATCTGGGGTGCCTCTTGTCAGAGCAAAATGTTTTTTAGGTCCAGAATGTACGAAAAAACACAATAAAAGTGCAGCTATGAACTTTAAATCAGCAAATAATTATCAGTAAATTAAAAAAAAAACAACTGTTAAATTTAAATTGTATTGTTTTTTAATTTACAATATCGAGTAAAAAATGCTGCTGAATGTTTTGAAAGCGCAAATAATAAATCATCCGTCGAATTGGCCAAGCTTGCCGAAACTTATCTTACTCAAAAGGATCAAGGACGACCTATTCCCGCCACTCTCAAAGTAAATCTCTACATCTTTCGGGTTTGCAACACCTCTAAGGAACTGTATGCTGTACCCTATTTACTTCATGGAGAAGATGTGGAAAACACGCCCACCTTTATCATTCAAACGGATGTCGTGGGTGGATTTCAGGGCCTGCTTGAAATCCAAAATATAAGAAAGTTTCTGCGGGAAGATACCAAAGATCGGGTATTCGAATGTCGCCAATGCCAGTCCCACTTTGTGGACCGGGTGCATTTGGCCCTCCATAAACAGATCTCCTGTGGGCGAAATTTTATGGTATGGCACATGGACAAGGACGCCATTGAACTGCACGAGAACTGTTTGCCCCTGCCGAAGGAATATTTTAAGTACGAATGGATTGGGTTGGCCAGCAAGAGAATTTAATTTGATTTAGCTAGTTTATAACATGAAACATTTAATAAAACAAAATCATTTTAAATAAAAAAAAAATAATTAAAAGAATTCAATTTTTTGGGTTTGGGAATATGAGAAATTGGAAATTCCAAAATATAAAAATTATGAAAACGCAGATTTTTATAGAATTAAAACACAAACATTTAGAGGTATGTCGCTTTAAAATCGAATGCCTGTAAGAAAAGTTATGGGCTGAGAAGTGCAGGTTTTGGATCACTTTTCAGCAAAGCCATTTTTCGTAAATTTGGAAAGGGGTTAGCTCATAAAAATGAAGAAAAACCGACCCAAAAAGAAAAAACGAGATGAGTATACAGATTTTTAGAGAATTAAACCACAATCATTTAGAGATATGCCACTGCAAAATCGGAAGTGTGTAAGACAAGTTATGGGCTTAGAAGACCAAGTTTTTGGTCACTTTTCAGCAAAGCCATTTTTCGTAAATTTGGAAAGGGGTTAGCTCATAAAAACGACGAAAAATCGACACAAAAATAAAAAACGAGATGAGTACACAGATTTTTAGAGAATTTAACCACAATCATTTAGAGATATGCCACAGCGAAATCGGATTTCTATAAGAAAAGTTATGGGCTTAGAAGTGCAGGTTTTTGGTCACTTTTCAGCAAAGCCATTTTTCGTAAAAATGACGAAAAACCGACTCAAAAATAAAAAACAAGATAAAGATAAAGATACAGATACAGAGTCCCCAGAAAGAGAATACCATATAAATACAAATATAGACTTTCCAAACTTGTATCCTTTATTTTATATTTAATTCTAGAGACATTGAAATTATAGGAACTTGTGCCGATTTCCATTGTATCCATTGAACGTAAACATTTTTGTAAACTAATACATATTTTATGAAACAGTTGTTGTCTCATGGCACTATCTGAAACGATAGAAGCAAACGATTTTAGACATTAATTAATTATATAAAATTGCGGTTTTAATTTAAATCAATCTATTAAATCTTTTAATTCGTTCATCCGCTGCAAGATGTCAGAGTTGAGGAACTCGACTACGTCACAGCTGGATTCCCGCTCCTCCGTTTCCGTATTCCACCGGAATACGTTGCAAGTGCCCACCCCTTGGTTGCATTATCGAACTGGATGCCAAATAGCCCGAATTTATGTAAAACACCCCCGAGAACACATGCAAAACCCGTGGCTTTGAAGCAGGAACCCTAACGGAAACAGTATTATCTTGTTCTTCTATTACCTTGCGGGTGTTGACATTCGTGGAGTCTAGCAGTGTGTTTAGATTACTGGATTCCAGGAGTGTATTGCCAGCGGCGAAGTCCTGCGAGGGCGTGATGTCTGGCTCTTCTGGCTGAGGCGTTGTTTTATCCACGGGGTTGGGAGGTTGGTTCGCTCCAGATTCAATTCCCACCATAACACCCTTCGGCAACTGTGGGAACCAGTCTTAGAGGGGCGGGTGCTCTCAACTCTTCCGCTTTCTCATCTGCCGGTTTTGAGATCGCAAAACTGGAAAAAATTGATCCCTTATTTTTTTGTCCAATTCAATTATTTGCTCTTCGGTCGCAATTTTCGTAAGATCCGATGGAGTTTATGGCTCTTGTGATACTTCGCCGACATCCGATATTTCCTGAGACATAAGCTTGGGAAAATAGACTTAGATTTTCCATGTCCATCAAATTCGTTGTTACACTGAGTGGGTGAACAACTCGGTTCTTCTGGAAGGGAATCATTGGATTATGCTAACAATTTTTATAAATTTTGGTCTATAACTTACCTTGAACGATGTCTATAGTAGATGCGATGGAGACTATCTCTGCTGGGCTACCCTCATCCCGACTTTCTACACCACAAAGAGACTCTGAAAAAATAACAATTTTCAAATACTACGTCTATTATTCCAAACAGCAATAGGCTCACTTAATAAAATTTCATCAAGAACACGCTCGACTACTTCAACCGCGGCGTTTAGTGACTCATCCGTGATCTCAGGTACTTGAGGTATCCATTCATTATGTGTCCAACAAGCTGCATATAATTGGAACAACTGCACAACATCATCAATGTTCTTTAGGGTGTGTTGGGTGTTGAAATTTGAGTAAATTCCCAATTCCTAGGAGTTCACTATTTTCTGCGATAAACAACCCAGGTCCAGCTTATCCAGCTGTACTCCTTTAATGTGGAGTAGCTGCTTTAATTGGCCAGTTGCCATATTTCACGACGTGTTGGTAGCAAAGTTTCACTGCTTTCATATAAGCCCTCCCCATCATGTAGTCTGAGAATTCCTGAAGAGTTAGTTGGTAGAGTATGCGCCAAATGGATCTCAAGCCAAGGCTTGTGCAGATCAAGTACTTCAGATCCTATTTGGTGTGGTGTGTATTTAGATGGTCTTTTCTTTTGGCTTTTTAAAATGTTATTACTTACCGTGGTGTTTTCGGCGAAAAATATTTCCTTGGCTTGCTCGAGAAGGATTTGTTTTTCGGTTTTTTGTGCTGATGTTACACGGTCCTCCCTGCTGACTTCTGTAACCATAGAAAAGTTTCATTCAATTTCTTTTACCGGGATTGCGGCCGGTAACTCAGTATCAACAACTCTGCGAGTGGCCACTGAACATGCATTTTTTTGAGCTATGAGAATTAATGGGAATTCGTCTTTCCCTTTTCTTTTAAAACTTTTCTTAACAGCCTGAACCTAAATAAGATAACCAAGACCAAAGAAGTACTTGAAAATCTTTTGGTCGATGAGGCTTTGGGCCACCTTCAGAAGTTTTACAACCGATTCTATGTTCCCGGAGAACCGATGCAAAATCAACTATTTTAAAGATAAGCCTGCAACTTCTTTAATAAAATGGCAGCCGAGACTGTAAAGAAGCATGCTGCAAAAAGGTCCAATAACAAGAAGTGAGTAGAGAAAGCTAAATATTTAGATGTAATTCTTTAACTGCTCCTTTTAAATTTTTTAAAGTGTCACTGAAAAATCCAAGGACCTGCATAAAAGGATAGAGCTGCTCAACGATAACGATGCCATTACCGAAGCCAACCCGGGTTAACTTCGTCTTCACAGGTACAAGAACTGCCCTGAGCTGAGACTTCAGAGTGCGTATTAAAGAGTCTGAAGGTCAGATGGAAAAATAAGGTGTAGAATACCCTGTTTCTTTCAAGCTCTTCAAAAATCATGTGTACAATCTCGCTGAAATTCTTAAAAAAATGAAGCTATGCGATGAGCATAAAATGAAAGCCAAGGAGATGTGTCTAAGGGACTATTACAAAGATTTTTACTCTGCGCCAGAGATACGAACAATGTTGAACAATTTCCGCGAGATTGCACACATGACTTTTTAAGATTTTGAAAGAAATTGGATAGCTTCATTTGTGAACTATTTCCGCCAGACATGAAGAGCTTGCAAGAAATTGGATACTCTACACCTGATTTTTCCATCTGACCTTCAGACTCCTTAATGGCACTCTAAAGTCTCAGCTCTGGGCAGTTCTTCTACCTGCGAAGACGAAGTTGGCCCGGGTTGGCTTGGACTCTGTTCGTCGGAAATGGCATCGTTATCGTTGCGCAGCTCTATCCTTTTATGCAGGTTCTTGGATTTCTCAGTGACACTTTAAGAAAATTAACAAGAAAGGAAAGCTAACTTCGGGCGGAGCCGAAGTTGATATACCCTTGCAGAATACTCTGTAAATTATATTCTCCAAAATTATTCATATGATGCATTCTTAATACTCATAAAAAATCCCAACTTCCTAACTTTAAAAACACCAAAGTTATGGCATTTCCAATCGTTCAGTTATATGGCAGCTACAGGATATAGTCGGCCGATCCTTATGAAATTTGGTAGGTCGAATGGATTAGCAAAATATAAAACCCATAGGAAATCCCAGCTTCCTAACTTTACAAACACCAAAGTTCTGGCATTTCCGATCAATCAGTTATATGGCAGCTATAGGATATAGTCGGCCGATCCTTATGAAATTTGGTAGGTAGGATTGATTGGCCAAATATAAAACCCATAGGAAATCCCAGCTTCCTAACTTTACAAACACCAAAGTTATGGCATTTCCGATCAATCAGTTATATGGCAGCTATAGGATATAGTCGGCCGTTCCGACATATGTACTGCGTACAAAGGAAAGAAGGGTGTGTGCAAAGTTTCAATTCGATATCTTTAAAACTGAGAGACTAGTTCGCGTAGAAACAGACAGACGGACAGACAGACGGACATGGCTATATCAACTCAGGAGGTGATCCTGATCAAGAATATATATACTTTATAGGGTCGGAGATGTCTCCTTCACTGCGTTGCACACTTTTGACCAAAATTATAATACCCTCTGCAAGGGTATAAAAAGGAACAATTAAAGAATTACATCTAAATATGTTAGCTTTCGCTACTCACTTCTTGTTATTGGTCCTTTTTGCAGCATGCTTCTTGACAGTCTCGGCTGCCATTTCATTATGCGTCCTGCCTAACTAAAGCAGGTTCGCCAAAGAAGTTGCAGGCTTATCTTTAAAAAAGTGGATTTTGCATCGGTTCTCCGGGAACATAGAACCGGTTGTAAAACTTTTGAAAGGTGCGGTGGCCCAAAGCCTCATCGACCAAAAGATTTTCAAGTTCTTCTTTGGTCTTTATCTTATTTAGGTTCAGGCTGATAAGAAACGTTTTAAAGGATACCGGGAAGACGAATTCCCATTAACTCACATCACACATCATTTATTTCTAGCTGCAAAGTTACTAGAATTTGCTGAGCACATTTCTCAACTCCACAATCAGTCCGAAGATTTCAAAGATACTGAGCCAAAATTTAACATCCAGCATTAGCAAACAGATGCAGAACCGTCACTATCGAAAAAGTGAACACAATATGGGTAAATGGGTGAGTAAATTATGTTTTTTTGATCACATTTTTAAGCTAATTAATGTATTTTTTATTGTTCAGCAAACAAATTATCGACGTGGTTAATAACACTTCTGTGTCAAGAAAATGCATGTTCAGTGGCCACTAGTAGAGTTCTTGATACTGAATCACCGGCCGCAACCCTGGCCGCAATTGAGTCAAACTTATCTACGGTTACAGACCTTGTTATTGGATCTTTTTGCAGCATGCTTCATTACAGTCTCGGCTGCCATTTTATTATGCGGCCTGCCTAACTGAAGCAGCTTCACCAAAGAAGTTACAGGCTTATCTCTAAAAAAGTTAATTTTGCATCGGTTTTCCGGGAACATATAGATCCGGTTAAAGAACTTTTTAAGGTTACGGTGGCCCAAAGCCTCAACGACCAAGGGATTTTCAAGTTCTTCTTTGGTATCGGTTATCTTATTTAGGTTCAGGCTGTTAAGAAAAGTTTTAAAGGATACTGGGAAGACGAATTCGCCTTTCCTACAAAGAGGCCAACGTTGGTTATGCGTTCAGCTTTAAAAAGGATGTCTCTCACCTGTCAACTTCAACTATCACGTCCTGGGATCCTTGAGGATGGGTATGTGTTGCTGCTTCCGCATTGTTTTTAGCTTCGTCATCTACAGCCATATCATCAGTCTCAGGGTCTGGATCTTTGAGCAATTTATCAAGCACGTGTCGGGGACACGGTGCCACCTTAAAAGCATACATACCTCTGTCGGACGCTGGGATCCCTGAAGAAGGCTTGGTAATACCAGTGGGTCCATTCCTCCTCTGTTTTATGGCTTCCATCCTGGGCTTGCAAGTCGAGTGCAATATCCTGCAGGTTGACTATTAGCTTGTTAAATGTTCTTAAAAGCTTGCAGATGATATGAAGAACGCCAAGAAAGCCGCAACAGCATTTCCACCATTTGCTTTGTAAGTCCCGCAAAGTTAAACGAGGGCTGGGAACATTCCGCCAATTGTTTAAATATCGTATAACTATCGATGATTCACAATGGTAAGTGTCTTGGAAATGCTGCCGTGTGGCCACTTAACAAATTCTAATTCCAAGGTAAATATGGATACGAATTGATTAAAACTTTGCTCAAATTTAGTTCGATTGCCTATCAATTTTTTAAAATATCTCCTGAGTTGGCACACGGTCTGTGAATTGTTTTTTTTTTATGTTTGCTGTCATGGGTGGGATAATTTTGTGATGGTTGCTGTCTGGAACGGCTCAAGTGTGGCCATCCACGTATTTGTGAGAATGTTTCGATTCCAAGGAAACTGTTAATATGAATTGATTAAAACTTTCCTTAAAGCTAGTAAGATTTCTTAGCAGTTTTTTAAAATATCTCCTGACTTGGCACACGCTCTCAAAGTTAGTTCGATTACCTATACATTTTTTTTAATATCTCCTGACACGCTTTGTGAGGGGCGTAGGAATTTTTCAAAAGTTAGCGTCGATTGGTATTTGAAACGATATAAGCCTAGTATCCTGATCGACGAAAACCGTACGCCAGTCATGAGAGAGAGCGAGAGGCAAACAGCTGGCGTTCACTTTTCGTCGGGCCTTTTTTTCACGTCGGTCTCCTGATCGACGAAAAAAATACCAGAAAATTCCATAGCGTTGCCAGTCTGCGGAAATAAACTTTGGGTGAGCCCTAGCGGAAAAGATTAAAAAATTTAATCTTTTGGCGTGCGCTTCTCACTGAACATTATAAGAAATGGAGGGAAAAACTCAAAAAACTCACAAAAATCGATTGCAGGAGTTTACATGTGAGGACAAAATAACATTAATACTATCTGGGGTGCCTCTTGTCAGAGCAAAATGTTTTTTAGGTCCAGAATGTACGAAAAAACACAATAAAAGTGCAGCTATGAACTTTAAATCAGCAAATAATTATCAGTAAATTAAAAAAAAAACAACTGTTAAATTTAAATTGTATTGTTTTTTAATTTCTTTGTACAGCGGCAGACTTGTCTTGCCAAGGTATTTGATAATATCTTTTAAAGGCTCTTTCCCGCAAATACGATATTTGAATTTTAACTGCTTGTCAACAAACCCAGCTGATTTACAGTACGACCATAGCACGCTTAAATCTGATGAACTCTCAAACTTTTGGTCACACTGGAAATATTAAAGTTTTTACGCTAGCGTAATCGTTTGTCGATCTGGATACTAGGCTATAAAATAAGTTGGTTCATGCCATGTCGAATGATTGGTTCAAGTAATAGAGTGGGCGGCCTTTTTATATCCCTTTAAACTTTGTATCAAATTTTCCAGAAACATCGCTAAAACATCCCTATATAGGCCTATATACAGGCATTTTGGCACACACTCTGTGAATAACTTTATTTCTAAGTCAATTTAGATTCAGACGCTGTAAAGCGATCGAGTTTACATTTCAATAATCAGACGGACACTATAAGCGGAGTCGTTATAACCGCATACTACTGTATTGAGTTTATATCATTGAAGAAACGTCCTTTAAGCTGATGTAACGTGCAACTTGGCACACGCTCTGTGGGTTGAGATATTCTCCAAAAAGGGGAAAGTGGATTTTTCAAATGCATTTTTGAAATACTTGCAGACCTCCAATATGCTTAAATCGCTAATTTGACGCATATAAGATTTTTAGATAATTAAACTAAACTAAACATTTAGAAATATGCCACTGCGGAATCAGTTACATCATTAAATATTCAGATAAATATAAAAATTAAAAAAAGGGACTAGTTTTCTGAGAAACGGAAAGAACGTCGGACGTATTTTTCGGTTTTAGTATAAATTCTAGTCCACTTTAAGCTGCCTGAGATTGTATAGTTTTTATGGTCTGGTCACCCTGTTTTGCTTGGCAAATTTTGTTTACTTGCAAAAACGCCGAAAAACAAAAACGATGAATCCGCTTGACAAAATACACGCACTGGATGAGATCGAAAAGGAGATAATCCTGTGCATGCAGAGTGCAGGTGAGTGAATGGGAGAATATCAATTAAATATGGCTGACATATACATTGTTCGCAGGTCAAGCGTTGCAGGAGTTGGGCAAGGAGAAGTCCTCACAGAAAAATGCCGAAACTCAATCGCAACAGTTCCTCAAGAGCCTGTCCAGCGTGGAATCGAAGCTATCGGAGCAGATCAACTATTTGACTCAGGTGTCCACGGGTCAGCCGCACGAGGGTTCCGGCTATGCGTCCGCCAAGGTGCTCCAAATGGCCTGGCATCGCATCCAGCATGCGAGATCCAGAGTTCGAGAATTGGAGGAAACCAAGGCCAAACACTCACATGCTGCTCGTCAACAACTGAAGCGTCAGCAGGAACATGCCGCCGCCCAACAACAGCAACAGCAGCAGCAGCAACAACAACAGATGCAACATGCGGCACAGCAGCAACAACAACAACAGGTGGGCGGAGGAGCCGCCGGCGGAGGCGATCATCCCATGGGAGGCGACTCCTCCATGTCCAACAACTAATCTAGAGCTAAATTTAAGGGTAGGGATTTCATATTTTTTTTAATAAAAATCGTGTCAAGAATATTTAATTTAATCTGCAATCCGGTCGAAGCGCAGCTGCCAGATTTGTAAGTATCTTAATATAGAAAAGAGTACAAGCTTTAAAAATACTTTACGCTGAAACCCTTCCCTTTTTTCAAAGTACAAGTTATTTGTCAAAACATTTGCATTCTTAAATTTTTACTTTAATTGTTTATCTTAGGGGCTAATAGAAATTATACATCCGGTGTTTTACCTAAAGATTTATCACAAGTCGAGTCCCGTTTAACTTTAACCTCTTTTTCTCCGTAGTTTGTCCGATGCCAAAGAAATTTCTTTCACAAACGTGTCGGACGCACTGCAGCAGAACGTTCCTTTCATGTCGGATGTCCGATTCAAGAAGTTTGGATAACATGGTGTTCTGCTGGGTTTGTTTACGAGCTCTCTTGTAGTTCAAGCCATTAATTCGCTTTGGAGCAATTCGTTTGGGTGCAGTTTGGGGTTGGCATTCCTTTGGTTCGGTTTTGGGTGGACTTGATTCTCTTATGGCTTCAGTTACTCGCTGGAAGGGCTCTTCATTTGGTGCTTCGTCGGAAGAGCAATGATCTTCCCTTGTAGGAGGAACTTTCTCTATGCCGGATTCAGTTATTTCATTAATGTCTTCTTGAGGCACTTCATTTAAAAAGGAGGTATTTTCCGTTACAGAAGTAAAGTCTTCCCTAGTTTCCATATCCTGAATAGGTACAGGTTTAGTAGAAGCCTCAGAACTATAATTATCTATGGACAAATTGGGTTCTAACTTAAGATCTGTATTATCGTGGATTGGGTCCTTTTCTGTGGGCTTAGAAGACTCAGTTTTGGAACTCTTCAATGTCGTTTTCTCTTGAATAATCTGTTTTGCTTCATCCTGATCCTGATTTTCGCCTTCAGTTTCACTTTCCTCTTCACTATCTGAACCGTACATTCCAAGTAGGCCGAACAAAGCATTATCCTTTTTTTGATTTTTTTTGTTGAAGTGCTGATAGTCCGTCATATGCCCAGTTCCACAGAACTTGGCATTTTCTATGAGATTCCTGTCCTCATCTTTGGTTTCTTCACATTCCTTGTTTAAATTTGTAGACTGTGTTGAAGTTTCTCTACTCTGATTTGTTTTATCAGTGGATTTCTTTGAACTTCCAACATTTTTCTTCTTTTCAGTGGCTTTGCCTTTGGCATTTCTCTTTTTTCTGTTTTTGGGATCAAAACGCTCCTTTTTATCTCCTTTGGGTCGGGTTCTTTGACGATCTTCGCGGTTTCCAAAGCGAGATTTAGAGGCCTCCAGACGCTCTCCGCGCTTGATTCTCTGTTCCTTAGCTAATCTGGCCAGCTCAACATTCGCTGCAGTTGGAAATCTAAGATATGGATGAGTTATTCTAAGGATTAATCATCATTTGGGTGCCAAGCCAACCGACCTCTTCCTTCGTTCTGCCTTCCAAGCGGCCAATTCCTCCTGCGTCCACACTTTCTTGACCTTTTTGTAAGCCCCGGTGATGTGATTAGCTTCTATATGGCGTTCTAGGATGTTGTGCAGGGACTCAAAGTCGCAATCATCAGCGGGACAGGATTCATGCTGTTCCAGGTGACGTTTCATGTCCTCAGAAGTGGCCAACTCCATACAACACGTGTGGCAGTACTCGGATCGTGGAGGCGATTTGTAAATTGGCGGGGTTTCTGGCACACTGACTGGGCTGCTCTGTGTCATAAATTGAGGATTATATATATAGTATATTACCCAAATCTATAGATATTTCAGTTAGTAAACTCACCTGATCCTGGGTAAGATATTTAGCAGGCACTGTTGATCCTCGTGCGCCGTACATGGGCGGAGGTTGTTTGGCCCTCGGCAGCAGGGTCATCCCACTGGGGGTCAGGTAGAGGTGAGGGGCTTTGTTGACTCCATTGGGCCTGTCGAATTTCGGAGACGGCAATACGAATTTCGGAAGAATCTTTTCCTCCATTTCGTCGAGTTAAAAAACTAAAAACAATGTGCGCGAATTGAGGCAGCGAGTGACCGAAGCTAATTAATATACCAAAAAACTACTAAAAAAAGAGGAGATAACAATTTTTCAAAATACCGCAATTTTTAAAAACCCTATGTACGAAAAATCATGTCTTGCCTTTTATTGAACTGTTAAATTATCAAACGAAACGCAGACTAAAAAAACCGATAAATGCAGTTTCGATGATTATCTATTCCAAAAATGTAACAGAAACCTTTTTTAATTGTTTCCTTATATTGTAGTCACTTCAAACAATTTATATTTTGTTTTTAATTTGTATAATAATTAAAAAATAGAGCTTTTTATATCATTCAGGTAAAAGTGTTTAAAGCTTACAAATTACATATTTCAAAAACATCAACGTATTCAAAAAAATACCGTTATTTCTTCTAAATCTATCGATAGAGCCACCCACATCGATTGGCCTAGTGTGACCGCACCGCACTGTTGTTGTCGTTTGCTCGCGAGACAAAAACAATTAGCTCGGAAGTGCAAGTCAATTGAGAGAGTCATTTTAATTATATTTATTAAGATTAAGCGTTTAGATTAGTGCGAATACTCAGCGGGGCGACACAATGCAAAGCGTTCTCAACACCGTGAAAGGCACGGCGCTCAATGTGGCCGAATATCTAACGCCCGTTTTAAAGGTAAAAAGTGCCAAATTGACGAAAACCTGACTATTAAAGCGATCAAATATGTACAAAATACGCATTAAATAGGGGTGTATATAAGCAGACAGGCTTCATGACAAAGAAAACCGGAAAAGATAATGGTTTTCCACTCTCAATTATTGATTTCCCCTTTTTCCGCGACCTCTATCCATTCCCCCAAATGGCTATAAAACTGGATTCACCGCCAGACTGTCTCCAAACGAAAATATACATAAATGTATCTTTGAAAAGACTGTTGGCGTCAAATTATTGTAGTTTTTGCTGTGTTTTAGACCAAACTAATAGAACAATTTTTCAAAACCCACTCTTGCTAGATTTTAAAATCACTACTTAAAATTAAAGTGTTTTCTTTGACATCGAGATTTGACCTTCGCGGGCCCCCCGCCAATTCTGAAAAGGTTAATGTGACGCCAATGTATTATTTTCAAATTTGAATTTGACTAGAAAAGATTTCTAGGATATCCCCCATATTGACTTCCTCCCCTATTGACTATTGAATGTTACTCATCTATCCCTTCCTTGCAGGAATCGAAATTCCGTGAGACGGGTGTCCTCACTCCGGAGGAGTTTGTGGCCGCCGGAGATCACTTAGTGCATCATTGCCCAACTTGGCAGTGGGCAGCCGGCGATGAAACCAAAACGAAACCCTATTTACCAAAGGGTAAGTGCTGCGATTTGCCATTAATCACTGGACAATTTACTCATTAAAATCATTTGGCCCCACTTAGATAAGCAATTCCTGATAACGCGCAATGTGCCGTGCTATCGTCGCTGCAAGCAGATGGAGTACGTCGGCGAGGAGACGCTGGTGGAGGAGGAGTCCGGCGATGGCGGTTGGGTGGAGACTCATCAGCTGAACGACGACGGCACCACCCAGCTGGAGGACAAGATCTGCGAACTGACAATGGAGGAGACTAAGGTGAGTGTGGGTGAAAAGGCATCGATACATAACCCAAACTACTTTTCAAAAACTATGTTTATCGTACTTTGTGAAATACGTAGCTTTTTTAAATGTAAATACATTATCTGTAATAATTGTGAGATACTTATGGTTACCAAATACCAAATTAAATTTTACTTTAAATAAACCAAAAACAAAAATGTACATCGTTGCAATATTATTCACAATGTTATTAAGAATAATATGAAAAATGCTATTTTAATTTTATATCGCGGTTATTCCTATCTGTGCGTAAGTAAAATTTTGTATTTTAGAAACACCAATTATTACCAACCATTTCTAGTAAATGAAATTTCGATTTATGTACATTAGATAAGTTAGTTAATTGGCTTTCCAATAACGAGAGCACCTCCTTGAGCAAATCCTTATCTAATCTCAAAATACTCTCTTACAGGATGAAATGCACACTCCAGATAGCGACAAATCAGCTCCGGGCGCTGGAGCCGAGGCCGAAGACGAGGACGATGACGAGGCTATTGACATGGACGATTTCGAGGAGAGCGGCATGCTGGAGCTGGTCGATCCGGCCGTGGCCACCACCACTCGCAAACCAGAGGCGGAAACGAAGGCCAGCCCCGTGGCATCCACTTCGGGCGAGGCGGAGGCCAGCGGTGACTCAGTGCTCCACACACGCACATACGACCTGCACATCAGCTACGACAAGTACTATCAGACGCCGCGCCTCTGGGTGGTGGGATACGATGAGCAGCGCAAGCCACTGACCGTAGAGCAGATGTACGAGGATGTCTCGCAGGACCACGCCAAGAAAACGGTCACCATGGAGTCGCATCCACATCTTCCAGGTCCCAATATGGCCTCGGTGCACCCCTGCCGCCATGCGGATATTATGAAGAAGATTATTCAGACGGTGGAGGAGGGCGGCGGTCAGCTGGGAGTGCATTTATACTTGATCATATTCCTGAAATTCGTTCAGACCGTCATACCAACCATCGAGTACGATTTTACGCAAAACTTCAACATGTCTTAGGACCCGCCATGCTTTTCAATATTGACGCAATAAAATATAACTCATAAAACGCTAGTTTGTAAACTAATAATCGAATAAAGATTTGAGCAAACAGCTAATAACATCAATACCTCGGATTCGTTTTTATAATTACTTTTTATTTCACTTTGCTTTTGTTGTTGTTGGTTGGTTGCATGTTTGAAACATCTCTGAGATGAAATTGTATGTTAACATAATAATAAAGCATATTAAATCAATTGATCAAATATGCATTGTAGTTTTAGGTAGTTTTGTTTCTAGTTAAATGATTTTTTTTTTTTGCATTTTTAACAGTTTTTTAAACTTAAAATGTGTGTTGCTTGCATTTTATATTAATCATTTAATGTATAACTGTTAGATCCTTTTTTATGGGTTTATAGTATATATATAGATTTTCTTAATAGTTAAAATCACTTTTCATTTGCAATAACAGGTTCACATCGTAATCAATTTTACAATAAACATACCTAACGCCATTCATACCTGAATAAACATTTATATATTTGTATGTGTATATCGATCCCTCCTTTCCTTTTCTTTCCATCTATTAACGTGTTTTCAACAACATGCCGCCAGCGTTACGTTAGACGTCAACAATTTTTGCCTTACTTATCATCTTTAAATATAACTGATCCACTATCTTGTCAACTCTCATTGCCAACTTTTACATTATTTACCCATATTTTTGTTTACTTTTTTACATTTTATAATACATATAGAAGTTATACATACCAACTAGAGACCTAAATATATAATGTATACCTAGGCAAACCTATATAGATTTCGTCGTGCTTTCGTTTTTGTATTTTTTGCCCCCAAAAAAATCTTGCGTCTGTCAGAATTTTCTATAATTTTCGTGAAATGTTTTGCTATTTCCGATCTTTTAACGACTTTTATTTTATTTTATACACTCTGCCTTCAAATTTGAAATGTGTGTGGTAATTTTGTTTCTATTTACTGAATCTGGAGTTTTTATATCTGTTTAATTTTATAAGGTACGTTTTGTTTAAGCGCAATGCCTAGGCAAGAATTAAGGCAATGATTAGATTGTCACGAAATGAATCACAAATTTAGGAGTTCCGAGAATATTGGAGTAATTAAATTAATTTATTAATAAAAATAAAAAGTAAGCCAAGTATCTTAATATTCGAATTAAAAGTTGAACCAAAAAAAGATTTTAAATTAAATATAGTTTATTTGGTTTGTTTATTTCGATTTTTGATTTTAACAATATTCTTGTTTTTCTTTAATTCGATTTCTGTTCCGTTTCATTGCCCCAATTCATGACTAAGCATCTTTTACTTTTAAATTTTCATATAGCTTGTTTTTGTTTTTTATTATAATTTGCTTTTACCATTTAACTGATTTATCATTTTCCTTGCACAAAATATATTTTGTATTTTAAATATAAGCTTTACACTTTCTGGTTGCTGACATTGAAACAATTACATCTCGGTTGAAATTTACAAATAGTTGAAACTTGCAGCTAAATTTAAATATATATGTAAGTATATATTTACTATATAGTTTTTAACACGATCTTTATTAATTTATATAATTTCTTGCTCTTCTTTATCTTGTTGTAGGTAGTTGTTTGCATTGTTTTCTTACATTTAGATGAAATTACAGTTATAATATACACATACATTCATACCATGAACACCTAAATTTGCTTTGTTTTCATTTTCTTTGTATGGATTTTACGCTTTTTTTGTTGCCGTTAGATTAGACGCAAATACTATGCAAGACACTTGGCGCAAAAAAATACAAGAATCGCTCTTCAAGTGGAAACAAAAATAATTTGAAAACTATAGTAAAACCGAATACTAATTAAAAAGTTGTAGGACGCTTAAAATTACGCCAATTTACATAAAAATATATAGATTTTTATCCATAAGTATCGTATTCATATAGGTATATAAAAATAAAATTTCTCATGCTTCTTTTGTTTTTCGTTTTTTTTTGTAATGCCTAAAGAAATTGGGGTTCTCCTTGCCGAATTAAAATTTATATCCATACATCTACATATTCTCGTTTAGGTTCAAGTGTTTTAAAAATTGCTTTATCAGGGACTACAAATAAAACACGAATTAATTTAAGACAAATTAATTAATTAGTTAAACGTAAACTAGACCTAACTGTAAACGTAATAATAATTAACATTGAATCAACAAATGTGTGCATGTGTGTGTATAGGTGTGATAGTTGGTGGTGTTGGTGGTAGTAGTGATGATGCATTCCCATATTCATAATACGGAATTCTGTATCCTCCGTTGCCTTCCATATCCTGGTTGCCTTGGGGGACTCTCCCCGCCCTCCCCGTCTTGTTATTTACATTTCATAAATGATTAAGTATTCCGTGTCACGTTCCCCCGGCATCTACACCTTGCGCTTGGCGTGCAGCATCTCCATGAGCAGCGTTTGGGTGGGCGCACTGCCTGCACAGTGCTTGGTGTATAGGTGCTCCTCGCCGCGAGCGGCCATGGCATGGATTTCCGGTAAGATGTTTACTAGCCCTCTGAATTTGTCCTGCAGGAAGCCGAAAGAAAGAGACAAGTTTTAGTTTCGTTTGCAGAAATTAAACAAAATGATTCTAATCTCAACAGTTTTTAAACCATAAACTTGTTTAAAAAAAACTACAACCACTTAAAACTAAATCCTTTACTCACATTGACTGACGGATAGCAGGTTAGGGTGTAGTCCAGCAAAGCTGCTTGCACATTATCATGTCCCTCAGAGACGGTCCTCCGGTTGACAATACCCCGTACAGCTATAAATATTATTTCAAGGTTTAGGAAGGTTGTCAATCTGAACGAGAATCTTATACGGCCTTACTTGGATTTAACAGGATTAGGAATTTCATGCAGACATAGTCGCCCATATCGAATTTCAGATCTTGCAGCTTATTCTGCAACTCGTTGAAGTAATCGCCCAGCTGTGGCACACCCAACAATCCCAGACTCATCAGATTAAAGACCTGGCCATTGTTCAGTTGCGTCTCATCGGGCAGCCCGTTGTGGATTCGATGGTGCAGGTGATCCAGAACCAGCATGTCCGACCAGGAATGCTGCAGCAGTTTCATTTGGTCGTCGACCTAGTTTTAAAAAAATTATAAACAAAATGTTTCATAAATAAATTTATACATCACAAAAATGCTTAGGCATTAATAAGCACGGTTGCCACTATTGATATAAAAGATTACATAATACTTTGCAGATCCTTTTTGTTTTCTAATTATGTTTCCAAAAGATGCATTTCTGCATGTTATTAATAGGGGCTAATTAATTTAAAATACTAAATCAGCTTTACTTATATTGTTACTAAAAGATGTTGAATTAACTACTACTATTACTACTACTATGGATCCGTACTATTTTAATATTTTTAGTTGAAGTTTATTTAAATATTATATTTGAAATTTAAAAATGTCAAAATATAAAATATTATAACAATTAATTATTAATTAAGCTGATCAAATAAAGGTTGAGAAAAGCTTAGATATGGATTTTAAGAAGTGAAGCTTTTGAATCCGATCATTTTCACTTCTATTTTTCAAGCGGCAACCGCACGCATAAGGTTCAATAGATACATTTTGTATGATGATATATGGTATGGAGATATGTTAAGGCCTAGTTTTGGATGTTCTGGTATTACAACACGCCCTCTCTCCCTCTCTCAGCGATTCTCTCGGTTTCTCCGTTTCTCTCAGTTTTTGTCTCAGTCTCCGTATCGCTATCGGTTTCGGTTTCTCCGCTCTTGGTGGGCTGGTGGTATGGGTGAGCACATCAGTTGCGTCATTGAGCGAGAGACGCTGCTGCTTGGCTGACTGACTGGTTCAGCTTTGCTGGCTAAGTAGGTCAGACGCCAAATGAAATCGAAATTCAATGCAGATTCTGCCGGCGTCGCTGTCGACGTCGCTGTCAGTTGTCGGTGGTTTACATAACATGCCGCAGACTTGGCCCCTAGCTTGAAAACTGGTTTCTGGCTTTGAACCATGTTGCTGCTGTCTGTGTTTTCTGATTTCTGATTTACTCGATGTGAGGATATCGGGGTATTGAGGCAACCCCGACGCCTTAAAGTGGCCCATACCTTCAGATCCTTGAAGAAGACGGTGTTCCGTGCCCAGTCCACTTGCGAGAACAAATTCTGGTCGAGCACTTTGCACATCAGCTCGAAGAGATCCACCTCCACCTGGTTGTAGGTTTGCTTCTGCAGCAGGGCAAATAGTTGCGTCTGCCATTCCCGATCGTCGATCGATTGCACAAATTCACGAATCATAGGTGAGACTCTGCAAGAATAATAAATGGAATTAAATAGAATTTAAGACTGCATGGCAATAGCTATCTGAAAAACCCACCTTAATGGCTCGATTAGCGCGTCGGCTGTGCTCGATGGATGTGTGCCAGAATCAAAGCTTTTCGTAGATAAAAGATACAAAAAAATGTTAATTAGTTCAAGTTTAGGTAGCTTCCAATTGGAGAGCTCATCAAGTGACAACTAAGCAAAGCGTTAAAGGGCAGCTTGAGACTAATTTAATGTAATTTAGTGTCTTTTTAAATTCACAACTATAAGTTTGTAAGTTGATATCTTAGCAATAAATTTAATTAAACCGTATATATATTTACTTGTAGATTTAAAATGATGTCATTAGCTTCTTTTTATCACAAGTTCATTACTTAATACAAAAACCTTGGCCATCAGCTTTTAAAAACTATCTGTAAACTAAACTATTTTTATTTTAACTGGGAATCCTTTCTGGCAAATTAAGTGAATAGGAAAGTATTTTGAACTAAATCGAACTAAAATCCCAAGGCTGCCCATTTTCACACTTGCTGCATGATCAGGTTGAATCCTTTTCCACAAATGGGGTATAATATCAAAAGTTCGCTTTGAATATTTGTTTGTTGTTCGTTTGTCGATTGTTTTGATTTGAGTTTGGAAAACTTTTTGGTTCTGTTCTGGCTGTTGTTGGGGTAAATACCACAATTTCGAGTCGGCCGTGTTCTGCAGAGATCCTATTCCAGCCTCGTGGCAACTGCTGTTGCCATTGCCGCCGTTGCGATGCAGGCCGTCGGCGGAATTGGTGCCC